GGAAGATACTTAATTGTGTAAGAATTTATAACTACAAGGGTGCTTAAATTAAGGGCTCACTTAAAATTATTCATCCAATTGTCTTAATACTGACAGCTGAATTAGTCAGGACTCTTGAGGTTTAAACAGAACCCCAACTCAAACTAGATTAAGCTAAAACAAAACAAAACCCACAATCCCTACACCTACAAGGAATACTGAGTAGCTTATACAATTTTAAAGCAGCACTGCAGGAACCACGGCCTCAGAACCAGAACCAGGGACATTATACGGCTCCAGGAATCTATTACTTTCTCAGCTCAGGCAGCTCCAGTTAGGGTGGTAGTCATGTTCTCAGGTTAACAAGATCAGTAGAAAGAGGACTTCATTCTCTCAAGATTTCTGTAACAAAAAGAACCCTGATGGGTCTTGTTTAGGTCCTCTTGAACCAATCACTGCTGCTGGGATGTGGTATACTGTGACCGATCCAATCTCAGTCATCCTTAGCAACGAGGAGTGGAGAGCCAGAATTAAGAAGCCCAAAAGGACTGCATGCAGTAGCGGGCTTCCCCCAGGAGAAAGGGATATTGTTACCTAAAATGGGATAGGAAATGGACTAGTCTAAAAACTGTTCTTACTTTGGTGACCTTGGTCCTTTCAACCTTGAGGTGGAGGTTTCTGATATGTGTCAGGGGCTTTGGTGCTAAGAGACCTGCAGGCCTGTCATGTTGGTTTTGACAACATTGAGCTTGGTGTTCCTTGGCATCTGAACTGCCTTGGCTTTAGTTCTTTGCCTGCATTCTTCAGTTCTTTCTTCTTAAGTTTTTGAAACTTGATACACTTAAGCTTTAACTACTAGAAACTTTATGAATTTATCTTAGGAACCAACATGATGCCATGGGAAGACCAGAGTTAGAAGCAAAAGCCCAGATCCTTCCTTGCTCTGGCATTTACTAGCGTTGGGATCCTTGGGGAGGTTACCTTGGGATCCTTGGGGAGGTTACCTTAGTTACCTAGGTTAACTAAGATCCTACAAATCTTAGTCTCATCATCTGTAAAACGAATGCCTGTTCCCTTATAAAGTTGCTGTGAAAACAGAGGATAGACACATAAACCAAGTGGCTGCTCACAACTCAGATTCAATTGTTACTGAAAGTGAGATGCCACTACCATGGGGCAAACTTAAATGCTTGAGGTACTAGACCAAGGGCTGGGAGGATGAAAGAACAAGACATGATCCCCGCCCTCACTGGACTTAGACTTTAGTGAAGGACAAAGTAAAAGAAGTGCTTTAAGAGACGAGAAAAACTAAGCGTGCAATGAAATTACCTTGTTCTAGGAACCTCATCTATACTCTTTCCCCCATCTAGTGTTGCTATTTAATGGATTTAAGCACCAATTACCATAGCAGAAAAATAGCACTAACTGCTCAATTTTTTGTAATATATTGAAAAAAGGACATTTAGGGAATCCTGGCAAAAATGGACATGTCCTATATATGCAGGATGCCTGGCAAAACTAACTCTGACAACAATGCTACAATCCTCTTTCTCTATTTATATAAACATTACATGTATTTATATAAACAATAAGTTCTAGTACTTCCACTGTATAAATGAGGAAACCAACTCACATACATTGAGTAACTTATACAAGGTCACGGACAGAAATGACAGAACTGGAGCCAAGCCCTAACCTCTCTGGTTCTAAAGCCTTGAACCTTTACATCACACCTTCACTTTCCTCAACAATAACAATGGAAGGTTTAGGTTGAAATTCCAGTTTGACCTTTAAATGTATCTCTGACTTTAGGCCCATTTCTCCTGCACCTCCTGTACTTCCCCCTAACAAACCCAACATGTTGGCCAAACAGCTGAGCTTCTCTTCAGTTCTCTGGAATTCTGAGAACTACTCATTAGTGATTCTCAAACTCTGGTCTCTGGACCCCTGGACCATCAGCATCATCACCTGGGAACTTGTTAAGAAAGCATATTCCCTGCCACATAGAACCTACTGGAAGCTGGGCATACACCAGAAATGTTTTAACTAGCTCTCCAGGAGTTCCTAATGCAAATTGGAAAAGCAGACATTCAGCATATTGTGAGACCTTTTCTCCTCTTCAACAACCAAGTGCATAACTCACAATACATTTCTTCTGAAGTTTTTTCAAAAGATTTTATTTGAGGGAGAACATGAGCAGGGACAGGGGCAAATGGAGGGAGGAAGCAGACTGCCCACTGAGCAGGGAGCCCGACGCTGGGCTGGATCCCAGGACCCTGAGATCACAACCGGAGCCGAAGGCAGATGCTTAAACAACTGAGCTACCCAGGCTCCCCCCGCCTCCTCTTCTGGAGTTTTTGAGGTATCTTAGAAACTTGAAATTTACACTAAGGCACAGGACTGAAAATATCTACCTTTGTTTTCAAACACTTCGTTAAACTTCACTGAACAACAATGCTTGCCAATACCATTGCTACCCCACCTCTACCTTCTATTAGATGCTACTTTTAAGTCAGAAATACCTCCCCTTCAAGGTCTTTTACTTTTTATCCCTCCATCCTTTCCTTTCTCTTAGTCATTCAATACTCTACCCATTTTGTCCCAAACCTAGTTAAATGACTCTTCACACTCATTCCTAAGTGTCTCTGTTCCATCCACATGCAAAATGACGCTATGGTCCTATGGAGCCCCACTGACTCCTGTGAATGTGCCAATTACTTAGAGAGATGGGACTGCAGTTGACCCGATTATAAAGCACAGTTTGCTAAACACACTGATGTAAAAAAAGTTTGTTCCATCCAACAGTTTTCCAGTTAAGAGCTATTTTGCTGATTAGAAATTATTTAAGCCTGTTAATCTAAGTCCCCAAAAGACCTTTTATTAGGCCATTTTATTAACTCAATTCTAAAATACTATTTTTTTCAGAACATTACATCTACATATGCTATATAGTCAAGATAATACATTATGTGTTAACCTCTGTATCATTACTGCTTTTATATTTAAACTTAAAAAAAAAAACAAAAAACAAAACAAAAAAAACCTATACAGACTAGGGACAATGCTAACATAGGACAATTGTCACAGTGCTATACTCAAGTGTATATGAAAGTCTTACATTGGTGACAAAATATATAGCCATCTCCCCTCACTAAAGGGTACAGACTGAAACAGAAATAGAACAAGTTAAAGATACTACCTGATGCCATGAATTTTAAGACAATACTAGACGTAGGTCCAAAGTTGTTAAAGATCACCAACAGATAACTGGATGCATCAGCATCAGCTTGGCGAACTTCTGAAAAAATAGTTTCCTGGGATACATTTCCCAATTTTCAACTTCAGAATTGCTCAGAAATGTTAGAATTAGTCTCAGGTGTTTTGAGCGTACAAAATATCTAAGAGCTACTGGCCCAGAGACACGTTCCATTTTAAAATTACTCCCAAGCACCATAGCACAAGCCAATTTAAAAATATGCACAGGATGAGGGGGGACCGAATTCAGTAACTTTTCACTCAGCCACTGAAGCTGAGATAAGGACTCCACAAATAAGTAGGACACTCATTACAGCAGTTGATCAGCTCTACCATCTCATTTCCCTGGTCCACAAGGTAGGCTCTAAATTGATGCCTTTCTGACTTTTCAAATTAGACTCCATGGAGCAATCACCGTGAGGCTGCATACAATTTCTACCAAATCCAGAAAGCCTTAAACATTTGTAACTCTCATGTATCTATACATTACTGAAACCGAAGTACCAAGAAATAATTCTAGAGGATACATGGAGTTTCCAGTCTTCTTTGGAGACGGGGAAGGGAAAGGATGAGGAGGGTCCTGAGCCACTGCAATCCACAATTTGAAAAACAGAACCAATCCAACATTCCGCTTTATAGGTAAGAATATTCAAGTCTGTAGATATGTCATTTCACCATCTCAATGAAATCTGTGTGACCTTTCATCTTTCATTTACCAAATTCCCACCATGAAATCTGAACTCTTTACATTGTGACCCCAAACAACTTCTATTTCTAGGTTCTGCATTCTCTTAATAATAGCAGGCTGGCTTCTACCAAAGGACCTAGAACAAGGCCAACAAACTTCTCATCTTACAAATCCCATTACCAAAGAAAATAACCCACACTTTCTCCTAGAGTGCAAAAATTCCAAGACAATGTAGATTAGGTTGATCAAACACTACTTATGCAACCAACAACACAGGAATGCCCATTCCAGCCATAGGTAATCAGGATAAAAAGAGGGTTATGGTTAGATAACAGATAGATGTACGCTAGGAAGGATAAAACTTCCTATAGACATTTCTCTTGGCTATAACAAGTAATTTAAATTAGGCTCCTTATAGATAGGAATCACAATAAGCAGTACTATTAATTTAATAATTTTAAGGCTAGTGATTTTAGCTAAATACTTGTAAATTAGAATCTTCTAAGGCTGATAAAAGGCAAAAATTATGTCAAAATTTACAAACAGATTTCAAGTCAGACTTGGAAGCCAAGATGAGCAACTCTTTTTTCTAATTACCTCTGGCCAAGGCAAAAGAATTCACTTAGACAAATAGCTTTCAAAACCTACCTAAAAATAGGCTAGTTCATAAATTTTCTAAATGTTCTTCCCTGCTGTGAGCAGCCCTTGATCTCTGACTGTAAAACTTCGCAAACTTTGGCATGCTCTAATGTTAGTTTTATAAGTTACTGAAAACCTCTATAAATTTAGCATCATTTCTCAAATCTGGATAGTTTTCTCATTCTCAATGCTTAAACATTAGGTCACAAATTGAAATACCAGCAGAAAAATACTTATCTTTAGGCAGGTGTACAGTTACCACTCCAAAGCAAACTGGCAAAATTTAAACACAGAGCATCAAAAGACTTCAAAGCTTTATGAACTTTTGAAATTAGCACATTTTCCTAAATCTTAGTGGTTCTAACTACAGGAAAACCAATCTCTAAGATTTGATATGATTTAAGCTAACTCAAAATTTTTTAAATTCCTGACATCAATACTAGATTTATAGTTTTATTATGGTAACAAACAGTTGTTACAGTGAGATCTATAAACATATACAGAATTATTATATTTAAATTGATATAGAACAATATTTACATTTTTAAGTTACACTTTTGAAATCAGAAGATGAAGTATAGCTTAAGTTTACAACAAAGAAAAATACACAAACAAAAATAGACAAAGTTAACAGTAAAAATGTAACTATCTGTTCTTGATACATGGAAACTGTCAGAAAGCTACATCTTCTTAATCTGATTGTCCAAATCATTAAAATATGGATGATTCAATGCCATTTTGCCAGAAATTCGTTTGGCAGGATCATAGACTAACATTTTCTGAAGGGGAAAGATAAAAAGAAAAAAGTTATTTATTTAAGAAATGAACCATTAAAAAAAACTCCATAAATCCTTAATTTTTCTACCAATAACTCATAATACTTTTAATAAAAAACTACTACAGAAACATTTCCATTAGTTCAATACCAACCACATAAATGCCTCATTTACCATACTTCACCCTCTAGCTCCAGAATAACCTATTTTTTAAAATATAGATATCCCAATAACCTCTTTTTGTTACAAATTATGCTTTAAGACACAAGCATTCAGAAATAGCTTTAAAACCAGGACATAAATTTTAGAAAGATATCTAGTTAATTATATTTACTTTGAGAATTAAATGGCCATCAGAGTTATTTATAACATTCTTGAAATGATGGCAATTAACTATAGTGGTTTCTAATGTAGCTTCCAGCAAGTTCCAAATAAAAACAGAACAAGAGCACAATGTGTATAAACACAATTAAAATGAGTCACTAAATTATGGTCAGACAATCTAGTATTAAAGTTTTAATTTACACATCACCAGAAAAGACTACATAAAGCTTAATATTGATTTTACATTTTATCTTAAAGAAAACCAAATCAATAAGTGGACTAGATATACTTTTACCCTCTAGTATCCTTTTGAACTCTTATCATGTATCAAGCACTATATTAAGTGCTTGGCAGACATACTATGTTCCTTAATCCTCACAACAAAAGCCATGTACTGGTCCCATTTTACAACGAGGACACTGAGGCTCAGATGTTAAATAACTTGCTCAAGTTCTTATATAGTTAAGGAGTTTAACTCTGAAACCAAGTCTGATGATTTACAGCAATGGTTCATCTGGGTGGGTTTTTGCCTACCAGGAACATCTGGCAGTGTCTGGAGACATTTTGGGTTGATACAATGGAGAGGAATATGTTCTTGTTATTTATGGGGCATAGGACTGGGATGCTGTTAAAATACCTTACAATGTACAGGACAGCCCCTAGTATCAAATCATGAACCAGTCAAAGAGGTCAAGATTAGCTAGACTAAGGAACCATGATTCACAGTATTTGGTTTTTGTTTCATTGACTGAAGTGAAATTCTCTGTGTTCAAGAATTACAGATGTGAAAAAGACAGATTCAGCTCAGGATATGGAAGACCCTCTAAGTCAAATCAACAATATCAATATATAAACATCTGAATGACAGATAAAGGACTTCGGACTTCACTGCAAGCCATTTGGAAATCCAAGCTGAATTTGGTGGCATAATGATTTATAAATGCTGAAAGGAGCCCAAAGACCAATTAGAAGATTTACAGGATAATACAGAAATTATTTTTTGTTTAGAAACCTACCCAAACCTTATTTTTTCCCTGTAATTATATTCGCTGAGATTCATAAAAATTAGTTCTGTCTAAAAAGCTCAATATTTAAACATTGTTCTAAAACAATTTTCTTAAAGCAGGCCTAGGACAATTTTTTATCCTAATAGATTTTTTTTGTCTTGTTTTTAAAGAAATCAACTATTAGTTGGGAACAACAAGTTAGTAAAGGGGAAAGATTTTTTTAAGAATTACTTTAATCCTTCTAACCTTTCTGATGTAGAAATGAGGCACAAAGTGGGAAATGAGAGTTCATGCAGTAAAAGGGTTTAATAACTAAAAATATCAAGCAATAGGGATGCCTGGGTGGCTTAGTGGTTTAGCACCTGCCTTCGGCCCAGGGCATGAGCCTGGAGTCCCAGGATCTAGTCCTACATCGGGCTCCCTGCATGGAGCCTGCTTCTCCCTCGGCCTATGTCTCTGTCTCTCTCTGGATCTCTCATGAATAAACAGATAAAATCTTAAAAAAATAAATAAAAATATCAAGCAATAATGAAAACACCTATGTCTCAGATAAACTATAAAGTAGTAAACACTGAGACAAATAGTTATAAAGGAAGGCTACTACAAACCAGCTACTTAAAAGTAAAAGTAAAGGAGGTGGCCTCTCCTTCAGAGTATCTATAGCTACCGAAAAGATTAAAACAAAATGAAACAACAACTAATGCTAAAACCTCTCAAAACCACTAGTGTTTCTTGGCATCTAAAATGGAGCCAGTAATACACTAAACATAAGAGGCATAATAGTTACGTGCCTAGCTCAATGTATATTAGTTTTCTATTTCAGGTACATTCAGAATCAATACTGTTGAAGTCAGTATAAAGGGTCTCCTTACCGAGAGCAGATCTAAGCCATTTTCATCCAAGTTTTTAACATGGGATGCCAGGCTTCCTGGTTTCCACTTGGGAAATGTATTCTTATAGTCCTGTAAAGATTCCACTTCTGGCCACACTTCATTATTGGGGGTGCCCAAAGCTCTAAAAGGCCATAGTAAAACAAAAAAAATTAGCTAAAGCTTAAATATAATCTTGGTATTACATACACATTGCCTTCATTATTATTTCATTTGAAAGTTCTTAAAAGCTTAAATATAAGACAAAAATACCTGAAAATTCTGAAGAGTTGATCGATTTCTGAATCCCCATGGAAAAGTGGTTTCTTAGTTGCTAACTCTGCAAATATGGTACCTATACTCCAAATGTCAACTGGAGTGGAGTAGCGAGCTGACCCCAACAATACTTCTGGAGATCTATACCACAGCGTTACTACCTGTTACAAAGCAAATTTTTACAATGAATAAATGCAGTGCATTGAACTACTAAATATAAATATTAATATTTATATTTCAGTATGGCTGTCCTTTAAAAAGTTCCATGATTGCCTCTGATAATATTGTTTGAAAGTCAATTAACTATACACAAAATAAATGGAAGACAAATATTTCATTTGTAAGTCCTAGTCACAAGGGAATTAAAAAAACATAAAAGCATACCAGCCCTTTTCTAGCTTTTCAAATCATTATAGTGCAAGAATCAAAATAGTCAATTAAGCACTCACTTAGAAAAAAAGTCACTGATGATTGATTTGGGCATGACACTGCAATGCATGTATGTATACTACTTACATGCTAAAAACATGAGTTAAGTCAAATAATAGTTTATTAGTGGTCTAGAGCTGATCTACTATTTTAGTATCCATAATTTATTAGGCTGGAAAAAATATCTCTAACTTAATGAGATCAGTAGCATCTGCTTAAGCCAATGGGAACCAAATAATCTTTACTTTTTTTATATAGCCATGGGAAAAAATGATAAAAAGAAGCCAAGACATCTAACCAAATGAACACAGTTATAAGTTCTGATTTGAGACAGTCTTTGGGCCCAGGGATAGACAATGACACAGAAAACCATCTTCCAGCAGTCCCTTACTATATAAGTCAACACTCCCTTTGGCTCTGGAAGTAACAAATGAAATGCCAAGTCCTCTGTAAAACACTGACAAAACTTGATTATATTTAGTAGCTTCTAGACGTATCTGAAACAGTAACCCTTAAGCAACAAAACCTTTAACCAATTTGATTGTATACCAGAAAGGATTCAATCAGAAGACAGAAACCACATGCAATGATTTGCATGGGGAAAGTTTACTAAAAAGAATTATTAAATAACAGAGGGTTAGAAAAAGACACTAATAGGAAATAACTCTTAGAACTGTAGCAAGGAAAATCCTTTCCTTCCTGCAAGTGCCTCTCTAGCACCTTCTACTGCCATCACACCTGCTGGCAAAGAATATTTAAAGGTCCCAGTAAGATGTTCACATTCCATGCAATCAAAGGTGAGTTCGGAGCTGAAAGGCAATAAATTCATGCTGGCAGGATGGAAATCTTTCTCATTGATTCTTGCTTAACTTAATGAACAAATACAGAAAACAAACCAGCCATCGCAAAACACTATTTCTACATACCTCATGTGTGTATACTCTAATAGGTATTCCAAAAGCTCTGGCAAGGCCAAAATCAGCCAATTTAATTGTCCCTTTGTCATCAATCAACAGGTTTTGAGGTTTTAAGTCTCTGTGCAGAACTCTTCTGGAGTGGCAAAACACAATCCCTTGTAGGATTTGGTACAAATAACTCTGGAAGAAGAAAGTAAGTTAGAAACTTAAATGTCCCACATAGTGATTTTCTAAATAATCTTGGTGAGTTTACTTCAAAGATCTAAGAAATTATAATGCAGGGAAATAATTTAACACAAAAGTTTTCAGGTTTTTGAGACTGACAAGCAGCATTTGGGAGTGGGAAGCGAATGGATATACAGCATCCTGTTTGTACACTTGAGACAAAGATATTTTCCTTATGGACACATCCATCTGAACTCATTTAGTCTTCTACTATTTTTTTTTTGTCCCCAATTCTTAACTCATAAGGTCTGTACAGATAGTTTTTTAAACTTTTGTATATATGCTTATAGCAACTCTATTTTTATTTTGAATAAGGTTGGTCCATTTCTATTCCTTATCATTATATATTAATTTTCTCTTTGGTAGTACTGGTCAGATTCCAAAAAAAAAAAAAAAAAGACAAACAGAATATTATGATTATATATTTAAATAGAGACAATTATCATAGTATGCGATTAGCTCAGAGAAAAAATATTGTACAAGTGTTGCCAAAACAATGTAATTATCATTTGAAGCAACCGGGTATTACAGAAATATGAAGTATACATAGTAACCGTATTGACTTATAAAGTTAGAACAAATGGCTAGCCCTATGGGGGGAAAAAAAAATCAAGAGCCCTAATTCCTATACCAAAATAAACCTTTGAGGGGCACCTAGGTGGCTCAGTTGGTTAAGTATCCAACTTTTCATTTTGGCCGGTCAAGACCTCAGGGTCATGAGATCAAGCCCCACATTGGGCTCTACACTCAGTGGGGAGTGTCCTTAGTGTCCTTCTCTGGCCCTCTCCCTCTGCCCCCTGCTCCCCACACACTCTCTCTTTCTCAAATAAATAAATCTTTAAAAAATAAAAAATAAATAAACCTTTGATCCATCCACACAAAAAAAAACAAAAAAGGAGGTGTGGCAACTTACTAGAAAGATATGTTCTAATATACATGATCTTTGAGCGAGACTTAAGACATATAAGCTTAAAGTCCAAAAGTCATGTATAAGATTAAATATATTATAAAAATTATTAATGGCATATATAAAGGAATAAAGGGAATATTATCAATGTGTTAGCAGAAAGGACCTTAGAGACCAGTGAAAAAATACCCTAATAGAAATGTCAGTGAAGAACACGTATAGGCTGGGGCACCTGGCTGGCTCGTTAGAAGAGAGTACAACTCTTGATCTTGGGGTTTTGAGTGTGAGTCCCACACTGGGTGTGTAGAGATTACTTAAATACATCTCCAACCCACTGATTCAAGTTATAAGAATGTATTCTAGAGGCGCCTGGATGGCTTAGTCGGTTAAGCATTCTGCTCTTGGTGTCAGCTCAGGTCCTGATCTCAGGGTCCTGAGACTGAGCCCCAAATCTGGCTCCTTGTGCAAAATGGAGTCAGCTTCCCCTTTCCCTCTGCTCCTTCCCACCACTTTTGCACATTCCCTGGTACGCTGTCTCAAAAAAATAAATAAGTAAATACTTTAAAAAAATTTATTCTATAAAGTTACAAAAGATAAATAAACGTAAGGATTTGCTGCAGCATGATTCATGACAGCATGAATCACCAGCTGGAAAACAACTTCAATGTCTATCAGTATGGAATTGGTTTAAATAATCAGATCCAGGGGTGCCTGGGTGGCTCACTCAGTTAAGCATCTGCCTTTGGCAAAGGGCTCAGGTCATGTGCTTTCAGGGTCCTGGGATCAGCCCACCTTGGTTGGGCTCCCTGCTCAGTGGGGAGTCTGCTTTCCCCCTTTCCCTCTGCCCCTCCCCCCTGCTCATGCTCACTCTCAAATAAATAAAATCTTTAAAAATAAATAAATAGACCAAACACTGATAGGCAAAACCTCTATGGTGAATGTCTCACAAAAAAAGGGCTGTTTTGTAAAACTGTGTGTGTATACGCAAAGGACACACAAGTATCTGTTAAGACTACTAAAAAACTAATAATGGCTACCTATCTGAGGAGTGGTTTGGCAGTTAAGACTTCTACTTTTAGAGTTCAATGCTTTTTAAAAAATTACATTTATAATTAAACTGAAGTTACACTCTTTCCAAGCATATGTCCCCAAAATATAGAACTTCTATACAGTAGACACTCACAATGGATAAATACTAATAAAATTAAGTAAGCTTATTACCTTAACAAGTGAAGAATCCATGAACTGACCAGGAGGGATGGAATCTAAGTATTTCTTGAGATCCATGGAAAGGAATTCAAAGATGAGATATAACCTGGAATCTTGCATAAGCACATCCTGAAGACTGGAGAATAAAATAATTATGTGGAAAAAAAAAATCTACCAAATACTTTTGACCTCTTACAAAATAAAACATCCATAAATTTAGCAGTGGCTATCACAAAAAGTAGGGCTGTAAGAAATTTTCTAGAGCAAAAAATACATACTGTTTTGGCAAAGAAAAGATGGGTAGCTTTCCTAGTAGTGAAAACCTTAGTACTAAACTAGAATTTGAGAAAGGATACTCAGGGCAGCACCTGAAAATTAAGTTTATTATGCTGAAGGTGCTACCAAACCACTTATATTTCAAAAGAAAATTTCTTAAAAAACAAAAATTTCTAGGGTAATTACTTGTTGTTCAGAGCTTTTCAGTGAATTATAAAAATTTTAAAATTTAAAACTTACTAGGAACCCTTAATAGTAGCTATCTCCAGTCCCACAAAAATGTAATTAAACCTTAACTTGGACTACTAGGAAACAAACCCCCAAACACCAGTCCAACACGGTTCTTTTTCATCTGACCTAGCTACCTGTCTTAGAAATCTGATTAGGGGGTCTTCAAGGACCAGAGCGGAGATCGGTACAGGTGATAAAGGCCTACAAGAAAGTATTAAGTATTTCCTTTTCTCCCTTGGCCAGTTTACCTTGATTTTCCAGCCCCCAATACTAATCTCTTATCATCACACTCCTATGACCCTGCTCCTGCTTTAAGCCTAATCTTCCTATGCCTGACCTTTTCAATTAACAAAAATAGTAGGGTTCTATTCCGCTCAGCAAAGTTAGACCAGATATTAAGCAAATGTAAAAATTTCCACATTGACATTCACATTTGAACTGGTATGCGGAAAATGGTTTAAATTCAGATATACCATACCTGACTATATTTGGATGACGAAGTTCTTTTAATAGAGAAATTTCCCGAATTGCAGTACTAGGAACCCCTTCCTCTTCACTTTCTAGTCTGATTTTCTTCATGGCTACCACTTGACCTGTAGTTTTGTGTCTACCCTTATACACAACTCCATAGGTACCTGAAATAGACAAAGTAAATGTCTACTATATGACACCCTCCACAAACTAAGATTTTAAAAAAATGACTGAATCCCATAAAGTGTCATATTATAGAAATGTCTCTGTGACCAGATAGGAAATATCTTAGTCATAATTATACCCTCATCACTTCCAAAAGGAAATTGAGGGCAACTACAACCTACCGTATCTATAGTTTAGAAATAAAATTCATGTAGTTGTTACAATTTTCCCTCATATTTAAATAACCCAATAATTTCCCAGCACATTGTAGAGAAGAAAATGAATCCTTTGCAGATTGGAATTATTCTCTTCTCAAGTACCCCATCCAACAATAAAGCAGCGTCAAATAGAGAGTAAAGATTTGGGCTGAGAAATTATTAACCAGAGTCACTGTGACTTTCAGAAAACTGTGTAGAGTGCTTTATGCATTTCAAATAGTCAATAATCCTCATCTAGAAGAGTGGGGCTAAAACATTTTACTAAATATTTATTAAATCTATTAAAGTTCAAAATATCGACTATACAGTACAAAAGCCTCACACCCATTCGGAAGTTAACAAGAACAGAGATTCTGATATATAAGCTTCAGATAATGAGCAACAATGTCAATATAAGGGATCTTGGGCAGGAGGCCGGTGGATACCGAGAACAGAAGTGCCAACATTAAGGGAGATGGACTAGTTTGCTTAAAAAGTTCATATACAGAATACATTCAGTTCCCAGGTAAATGCTTTTTAAACTGAAGTTGGAAGGATGCCTAGCTGACTCTATACTCTATATATAGGTAGAGTATGACCTTGCAGGGTCATGAGGTTAAACCCCATGTTGGGCATGGAGCTTACTTAAAAAATAAAAAAAATCTTAAACAAATAAACAAAATCTTTAAACTGAGGCTAGAAAATAGGAGATCTTGAACCCTTTTGACTTTACATAAAATTTTGAATGACCTATTTTTCTATAACATCAGTATAACTTCAAAAGTGATTAGAGTGCACTTTTCTAAGGAAATCTATTCTGTAGCTTTTATCAGTTTCCTCAAAGGTAGCAATATTTAGAAAAAGGCTAAGAACTACTATCAAATTATCTACTGGCCCAAACTGTGGAAGGAGCCTCAGCGTCCATCGAAAGATGAATGGATAAAGAAGATGTGGTTTATGTATACAATGGAATATTACCCAGCCATTAGAAATGACAAATACCCACCATTTGCTTCGAGATGGATGGAACTGGAGGGTATTATGCTGAGTGAAGTAAGTCAATCGGAGAAGGACAAACATATGGTCTCATTCATTTGGGGAATATAATAGTGAAAGGGAATAGAGGAGAAGGGAGAAGAAATGGGTAGGAAATATCAGAAAGGGAGAAAGAACATGGAAGTCTCCTAACTCTAGGAAACAAACTAGGGGTGGTGGAAGGGGAGGAGGGCTGGGGGGTGGGGGTGACCGGGTGGCGGGCACTGAGGGGGGCACTTGACAGGATGAGCACTGGGTGCTATTCTGTATGTTGGCAAATTGAACACCAATAACAATAAATTTATTATTAAAAATAAATAAACAAATAAAAAATAATAAATAAAAATTATCTACTGGCTTAATTAGAATATTAAGGATAGTTTGGTGATGTTATATAAATTTTATTCTAATTTTGTTTTAAATAGAGAAATTCTATACAATAGTCTGTATTCCTAAATATTGGTGTGATTTTAAAGACCTAATTTGACCTAAAAGCCATTTTACATTATTTTGATTAAATTTGGATTAAGTAGGACTTTTGTTTCATTTTGTTCTTTAAAAATACTTTATTTGACAGAGAGAGAGAGAGAGAGGGAGAAACAGGCTCCCCACTGAGCAGGGAACCTGATGCAAAGGTAGGCACTTAACCACCTGAACCATCCAGGTGCCCCTTAGTTTGACTTTTGGATAACCAAAATAATACCAGATTTTTAAAAAACTCTATTTTATTGATCTTCACAACCATTCTTAAAAGTAAGTAACCTTCTGTTCATTTAAAGTCTGTCCATTTTTTGGACATCAATTATACTTGCATCAAAAAACACAAAAGTAGGGATCCCTGGGTGGCGCAGCGGTTTGGCGCCTGCCTTTGGCCCAGGGCGTGATCCTGGAGCCCCGGGATCGAATCCCACGTCGGGCTCCCGGTGCATGGAGCCTGCTTCTCCCTCTGCCTATGTCTCTGCCTCTCTCTCTCTCTCTCTCTCTCTGTGACTATCATAAATAAATTAAAAAATTAAAAAAAAAAAAAACAAAAAAACACAAAAGTAGTTAAGTCAGCAGCATAATTATCTGCACACTGTTAAAGCAAACTCAAAAAGATTTGTAATTTGCATGCAAATACATCATGATGTCATCTAATAAGCAGTTAATGGTAAATTCAGAACTAATTCTTCCCCCTAGTATTCCTCTCTCCTTCAAATGTACAATCTCATCTGGGCCTAAAATTTACTCAGAAGAATTAACTTATAGATAACACTTAGTATTTATTCAATTTAGACATCACAAATGCTCTGTCTCTTCTTTCAGACTCTTTGAACCATTACTCTTATAACTACACATACAGAGCTCTAAATGAAGCAGAATGATTCTAATGGTTAAGCAATAAAAATTATTTATGAAATGCATAGTATATACTTTGAAATGAACTACACATTATTAAATTTAAAAATGTTAGTTATGATCAAGTTATGTAGATTAAACGATAAGCACAAAAACTTTTAATGTTTACTGAGTGAATGAAGGCCAAGTTAGGTCCCACATCACGGATATAGATAGCTACTCTCTATGATCCAAAAAAACATTTTCTTATTGACAGAATGTGACAATACTCAGATTTTTGTAATTCAGAAGAAACCAGAGAACATTTCTGTAATAACTGAAAGTTCTAGATAAGAAAAGTCTAGATGTATTTAAGACATGAATCAAGTTGTCAAAAAGTTCAAGTGTCAAGGTGGAAAAGTCAAGAGGATTATTCTAAATTTAAAAAGACCAAGGTGGGATCCCTGGGTGGCGCAGCGGTTTGGCGCCTGCCTTTGGCCTAGGGCGCGATCCTGGAGACCCGGGATCGAATCCCACGTCGGGCTCCCGGTGCATGGAGCCTGCTTCTCCCTCTGCCTGTGTCTCTGCCTCTCTCTCTCTCGCTGTGACTATCATAAATAAATAAAAATTAAAAAAAAAAAAAAAAAAAAAAAAAGACCAAGGTGGCTGGTTTGGCACCAGCCTTCGGCCCAGGGCGTGATTCTGGGGTCTTGAGATCGAGTCCCACGTCGGGCCTCCTGCATGAATGGAGCCTGTTTCTCCCTCTGCCTGTGTCTCTGCCTCTCTCTCTTCTCTCTCTCTCTGCTCTCATGAATAAATAAAATCTTCAAAAATATAAATGCGTAACATTAGCTAACTCTTCAGAAAGTACATACAGAAGTTTTTAGAAATAAAGCATATCTCTACAACTTACTTTACGTGACTCAAAAGAAAAAATGCTAAACACACACACATAATAAAGTAAATGTGACAAAATTAACATCTTGGCAAAAGGTATTACAAGTTCACTGAATTTATCTTTCAATTTCTCTGTATGTTTGGAAATAATCAAAGTCGAGAGAAAGAAATTTAACTTTTTATATCAAAACTTTAGTGCTAGAATTTGATTAAGTATCTGGCAAAAAGCAAAAGAAAATACCATGGGAAAGTATCATACAATTTACTTTTTCAAAAACAATGCCCACCATACATAATCCAAAACAGCCAGGCACTGGAGTAGTCCAGACAATACAAGCCAGAAAAAGAAACAAAGAAAAACACATAGAAAAATAGATACTGTTATTATCAAATATTTGAATATCTCCAACAGTGCTAGACACTACTGCCAAGCACTGTTCAAACAGTTGTGAACAAGACAAAATCCCAAACTTCAGAAAGCTTACTTGCAGTGTAGTAAAGAAAAAGGATGTTAAGGATAACAAATAGGGAACTACAAAATACACTTGGACTAGAACAATGAGATGAAAGTGAAGGCAGGAGAGTGGCTTTCCAAGGTGAAAGAACAGCCATTGTCAGAAGCTCAGAGGCCAAAATTCTACAGGGAATTTGAGAGGACATCACATGGTAGAATGGGAATCATTTAACTCAAGGAAATAAGGCAACATTTGAAATTATATTCTTTACTGCTTCTATTTCAACTAAAGTCAAATACGTAGTCTCCTGCATGTTAGGAGTTCCAGAGTTTTAAAGGAAAACACATTTACACTTTAAGAATAACTTTTTGTTACAAACAAAATCACCACTCATTTGATTCTCTGGGGATTAAGAAAAACTCAAAGTAGAAGACATTAGATATGTTATTCAAAACTTATTCTCAACTCAAACAAAATTTAGTTGAGAGGATATAAGAAAGTATTTAAGCGATTAAAAAAAATACAGTATTTGTAAGAAAAAGAATGTATCGCTAACCCATGCACTACCTAAAGTCATTCATTATTATCTCACTAAATTCTTTCCAGTACTCCGCCCCTAGACTTTTTAGTAGTATTCCTTGTACAAATACGGTTTTGAAACACACTAAAAATATACTGATTGGAAATATCCCTCAAACAAACCTACATAAATTACTCTAATAGCAAATTGCTTTGTATAAAGGTGTACCATTTGTTCCTATAGTTTAGAATGTTAATACCAACTCTTACAACTCTTATACAGAAACTTATATATTCTGCTGGGGGAAAAAAAAGGTAAAGGGATTTTTACCCTTCCACTTGTGCCATATAAACATTCTTTAAAAACTTCAGTGAAAGTACTACAGAGGGGAATGATCATATAAAAGAGTTACTGGTTTTAGGGGCACCTGGGTAGCTCAGTTGTTTAAGTGCCTGCCTTCAGCTCAAGTCATAAACCCAGAGTCCTGGGATCAAGCCCTGCATCAAGTTCCTGCTCTGTGGAGAGCCTGCTTCTTCCTCTGAGCTTCCCCCTGCTCTCTCTCTCTCTCTCTCTCTAATGGATAAATAAAATCTTTAAAAAAAAAAGTTGTTTTAGAATTGCTTAAGCAGGTACACATGACATGTCATTTAAATCAAGGGAAATTAAAAAAATTACTTAAATTGGTTTAATAGTCTATTATACTAGTTTAGAAAGTTTAGGTAAAAGTACTTAAAAAGAATTGTACGTGATTAAAAGTACACTATTAAACTTAATAGAATTCTACTGCCCTAGGAGTATCTGGGTGGCTCAGTCGGTTAAGCATCTGCCTTCAGCTCAGGTCCTGATCCCAGAGTTCTGGGATACAGACCCGCATGGACTCCCTGTTCAGCAAGGAGCCAGTTTTTCCCTCTCCCTCTAAAGCTCCCCCTGCTTGTGCTCTCTCAAGTAAATAAATAAAAATCTTAAAAAAAAAAAAAAAAAATTCTACTGCCCTAACCTCTCCCCATCAAAACATAACACAAGATCTCAATAGTGTTTTCAAAATAGAAATATTGCTTTAAGTGTTTAGTACTTAAAAAATATAAGATTTTTAGGGGGATGGAGAGGGTTGGCAGGGAATCCTATCAGAATAATTTCAATTTTCTAGAAATCTGAACATTTTGTGCATATGTTACCATGTAAAGAACATATAATTAAGGCACATTAGCACTGAAGGACACCTTAAAGATTGGATTTCAATAAAATATTTACAGGTTTTCATGTCCCAGATATTAGAGCATTACCAAATCATTTTTTAACTCTTTTATTATTAAAACCACTCACCTTCTCCAATTTTCTCTATTTTGGTATAATCTTCCATAGTTAATCAACAGATACGGTAGCTCCTAAAATGAGACAAAAAATTAATTTGATCATATGCCACTAACTCAAAAGATGGTTTTAAGTTTTTAATGATAGTACAAAGCATTTTCCAGTGTCTACTGCAGCATTAATTTCCCATAAATACTAATCATGTTAAAACATTTACAAGGGAAGGGACCTCTGCCATAAGATTTTCCCACCTTTTTTAGCTCTTAAAACATTGGATTTGTACGTCTTAGCCAGTGTAGTACTTTGCTTCTGGCAATCAGATTAACCCTCGAATTCAGCTATCAAACTTACCTATCCCTCCCAAACAAAAAACAGAAGCATGTTTCTTTATGTAACACGTCTAAGGAGCATCAATTTCTACCAGTTATACCCAGCCATTTCCACAAGTGTTATTTGCGTTAAATAAGTCACATGACGTTATTTGACTGAATTTGCACCCCTTTTCTAAGAAAACTCAAAAGGGAAAAAATGTCAATGACACAAATAGAGCTACTGTGGCCATCATAATCAACCATCAGCAAGAGGGCTTAATGCCAGTTGAAATGCTGACAAGACATTCAAGACGTCCTCAGCTGAGAAGTTTGCCGGAGAAACCATCACTTCAGAAGCCCCAAGTGTAATCACCTTGATTTTCCAACACACTCATCCCTGGTAAGATTACGTGCGAAGGTCCCTGGGTAATCGACGCTCGCGTTCGTCTCCGGGATCATTCCACAAGTAGAAGCAAGAAAATCTTGAGTGAGCGAAGTCGCACTACCCTGGCTAGGAGTCCCAATCTTAGACATCTTTCATCTCACTGAACGGCAATCCTCTCTTCCTCGATACCCAGATTGAACATGCCTGACGGACAAGCCAACGGTCGAGCTCGCCCCGAGCGACCACCTCAGAGCTGGGCTCCCCGTTCCCCGCCGGGACGATTCAACAGAGGCCCCGCCCCCGGGGCCCGGCGCCACGACACCACAGCCTCGTCTCCTACCCAGGGGCCTCCGGCTCGGCTCTCTGAAGGCAGCAAGGTGTGTCCGTGCACACTGGGGGCTCTAGCGTCAAATGAAGCCTGACTCAAGAATGCTGAGCGCACACGTGCGTGCTCTTTCTCTGGGCGTTCCTGAGCCTTCCCCTTGGGCCGACCGCGCAGCACCTACAGCAGCTTCGGGCAGAGGGGAAAGCCCGGGCTTCCTCCGGTTCTGCCCTTGGCCAAGTCTCTCCACAGCTCCGGGCGCGCCAGGGCCGCGGGCGCAGGGAACCCCGAGAAGGCCCCCAGGCTAGCGGGGCCCGCCGGCGTTCCCGCGCGGGCGCCTGGCCCAGGGCGGGTCCGGCCGTCCACGCCAGGGAGCAGGGCGGCGCGCGCGGGGCCCAGGCCGGAGCCCGGCGATCGGCGTCGTCCAGCCAGCGCCACGACCCGACGGCCTCCTCGGCCGGCCGGGCGGCCTCCCCCGGGCCGCAGCCCAGCCCCAGCCCCAGCCCCAGCCCCAGCCCCAGCCCGCCCGGGAGCGCGCCCGCCAGCCTCCCCGGAGGGCCGGCCCCGGGGCCCCGGCGAGGGCGCGGCCTAGGACCCCGAGGCCCGGCCCGGCCCGGCCCCGCGCGGCCCCCCGCGGCCTCCCTCCACCAGCCGCGGCCTCCGAGCAGGCGCCCCGCAGGAACGACCCTGACCTCAGCGAGGCCACCCGGCTTACTCTCCCGCGGCGAAAGCAGCGGCCGCCTCCACGTCCGCGTCGCTCCCGCCTCAACTTCCAAGAGCCAGCTTTGAGGCGGAGCGCGAGCTGTTTCAAACTCGCCGCGCTAAAGGGCCGGGGGCCCGCCAATCGGGCAGCCCGTAGACTTTCAAAGGACCCAATCGGAGCTCAGCGACGCTCGGGGCTGGGCTTCCCGGGAGGCTGAAGCGCGAAAGAGGCTGGAAACGGCGGCTGGCGAAAACGCAGGAGGGCGGGCGCCAACTGAGTCCGAGCGCAGGCGCTTTCTTTCATCGCTGGAGAGCGTCGTCCTACTGTTTCTGGTCGTCGGAAATCTACTGTTGGCCCTGGGTCGGGTTTTTCCCTGTTCAGTATTGGCACAGTTAAGACTTACTGCACTCAGCTCTCTCATCACAAAAGCGATGCTACATTTACATCCAGATTCCATCACTTTCACTTCTAACACTTAAAGCTACTGTAAATGGTGTTTTTCTAAGTGGGTGATTTCCCGGCTGGGCCAAAGGAGTCCATTTCACACACGCATGTATGCTTTGTTTTTACTTTATTTTTAGAATTTTAAAGTTTCCATTTACGTAAAATTCCACGTATTTAAAAATTAAAGACGAAATTTTACATTCTTAGATTTTTAAATATTTTCACAACAGAATTTTAGTGTTTCAGGACACAAAAATTCACAAGTCTTGGGGGTGGGGGTGGGGGTGGGAGACCTAAATTATACTTTAAATAACCGAGTATCAAAAACTCTCTCTCTCTCTCTCTCTCTCTCTCTCTCACTGCCCTCCACAATAACCTTAAGAGAGATGTCTGCACTTGAACATCATTCTTTCAGTCTTTAAAAAATAAAATAGAACTGGAGATAAGAGTCACCTAATAAGGGCTGCTCTTAATGGAATGTAGAACAAGGATGGATTACCATGAACGCTACAAAGACCTGTCAGAAGACCCAGATTAGGTGCTGGCTTGGACAGCAATGTGCTAAAATTGGAACAAAACAGATTAAGTTGGTCCCTGCGCAAAGATGACGCACAAATTCTTGAACTGTTCCATATACCAAAAAAAAAAAAAAAAAAGACCCAGATTAGGATAAATAATGAGCTAGTATATCACATGCATGTAAGTGTTTAGTACCTTTTTACACAGTGAGAAGCATCTGTCATCTGGCACCATTTGTGGTACCAACACATGGTCTTAACAATTTTGTGCTCCTAGGTGACAGAGCACTTGGGGTTCACAATGCAGGTAGGTGGTTGTGAAATCTCTGCCTGAACCTAAGAACTTGTAAAACTTACTTTTCAACACCCAAGTTCACATTTTATTTTATTTTATTTTTTTATTTATTTATGATAGTCACAGAGAGAGAGAGAGGCAGAGACACAGGCAGAGGAAGAAGCAGGCTCCATGCACCGGAAGCCCCACGTGGGATTCGATCCCGGGTCTCCAGGATCGCGCCCTGGGCCAAAGGCAGGCGCCAAACCGCTGCGCCACCCAGGGATCCCCCCCAAGTTCACATTTTAAATGAAAATTGACTACCCCAGAGAAGTACTCTAGGGAAGATGACTGTTCTCTCCCAGTTCAGGGTACTGATTTTAATGAGTGCATGTAGATATTTCTCTTTGGGAGGCCTCAACAAGACATTCATTTTATAGCACCTAATAACAGCTTATAATTCATTATATCCATTTTACATTCAACATGAAGATCACAAGCTTCTATAGCTGTGATGCTAGATTTTTCATTTTAACTCAATTATCTTTGCTTTTAAACTTTAAGGGGTTATTGTAAATCCATGCTAGCATCTTAGCAAATTCAGTTTATTAATTCTTTGGGCCAACTTGAATTTAGGGTCTCTAAAGTACTTTATGGACAGAAAATTAATCAGATACAATTCTTGCTTAGGCTTGGGGGTGGGAGAACACAGGATTAGAATTTTATGATGGTACTTAGGTTGTAACTTATGCTATAAAGTGACATGAGAACAGAGAGAGGTAAATCACCAAATTCAAACAGACACTGGCGAAAGAACTGTGGAGTGGGGCTTCCAAACAGTAAGCATTGAAAATCTATCTGAATAATTCAGGGTGCCTCCAATTGTAGGGTACAGGGAGTCCACAGGCAGGCGACCGACCATTGGATGCTGCAGGGCCTCTGCGATGTGAAGCAGGGAAGAGAGTTTGGAATGAGAATCTTGAAGAGCCCTGAATAATGTCCTAAGGGGCTGCACAAGAGAAGTTTTTTTTTTTTTTTTTTTAGATTTTATTTATTTATTTATTTGAGAGGAAGATAGAAAAAGTGTGAGTTGGGAGAAGGGGCAGACTTCCTGTGGAGCAGGAAGCAGGCAATAGGGGGAGATCCTCCACCCTGGGGTCATGACCTGAGTCTAAGGCACATGGTTAACTGACTGAGCCACCCAAGTGCCCCAGAACTATTTTAGAACTATACTCATGAGTTGTGAAAAAACCATGAAAGAAGAGAGGATGGAAAGGCATGTGCTACAAAAAATGGCATATTTATATTTCAGAGAATTCCATTTAGAAAAAAAGGAAAAGATCAGTTGGCACTGCATATAAGCTTTTTTTTTTTTTTTTTTTTATATATATAAATATTGCAGGATACCTGGGTGGCTAGTGGTTGAGCATCTGCCTTTGGCTCAGGCCATGGTCCTGAGGTCCTGGGATAGAGTTCTGCATCGTGCTTCTCACAGGGAGCCTGCTTCTCTCTCTGCCTATGTCTCTGCTTCTCTCTGTGTGTCTCTCATGAATAAATAAAATCTTAAAAAAAAAAAGAAATATTGCTGTGGACTGAATTATGTCTCCCTCCACCCTGAATTCCTATATTGAAGCCCCACCCCTCAGTGTAATTGTATTTGGAGATAAGGCATTTGGGAGGTAATTTGGTTTATTTATTTATTTTTTAAAGATTTTATTTATTTATTTGACAGAGAGAATGCAAGCAGGGAGCAGCAGAAGGAGAGGGAAAAGCAGGCTGTCCACTGAGCAAGGAAGCCCAACTAGGGGCTGGATAGCAGGACCTTGGGATCATGACCTGAGTCAAAGGTAGCTGCTTAACTGGCTGAGTCACCCAGGCACCCCAATAATTTGGTTATCTCATAAATGAGATCATGAGGGTGAAGGCCTCACTATGGGATTAGTACTCTTATTAGAGGAGAAACTAGAGAGCTGGGTCACTCTCTCTCCGCCTTGTGAGGACACAGTAGGAAGGTACCATCTATAAGCCAAGAAGTCTCAACACAACCCATCATGCCCGCACCTTAATCTTAGACTTCTAGCCTCCAGATCTGTGAGGAAATAAATTTCTGTTGTGTAAGCCATCCAGTTTATGCTATTTTGTTATGACAGCCCAAGCTGACTATAAAGTATTTTTTCAGCTAAAAAAGTTAAGAAAGATTTGCTTGTAGGGATCCCTGGGTGGCTCAGCGATTTAGCACCTGCCTTTGGCCCAGGGCATGATCCTGGAGTCCCGGGATCAAGTCCCACGTCGGGCTCCCGGCATGGAGCCTGCTTCTCCCTCCTCCTGTGTCTCTGCCTCTTTCTCTCTCTCTCTCTCTCTCATAAATAAATAAATCTTTAAAAAAAGAAAAGAAAGAAACATTTTCTTGTAAATACATAAAATAGCCTGGAGGAAGATGGAACAAATAGCCATGTGCCTGGAGGAGGAGTACCTGGGGCACAGAGGTAGAAAGGGAGACTTTCGTATCTTTTGAAGTTTGAACCATGTGAGTATATTACCTAGCCCAAAAATGGATGGATGGATGGATGAAAGAGGCCAAGGTCTCTTTTTGCTACTGGATAAAATTCATAGAAATTGCTGAAAATTTTACTCAAAAGGAGAGTACTGATCTCCCTTTGCATAATTCAGAAAGTAAAGTGGTTGAAAAAAAGCAAGACATGAAGTTTTAAGATCTTTCAATTACACCTGAAAACATGGAACTATTATGGCTGTTCCTGAGTTAGGCATTTTTTCAAATTATGAAGGTGTTTTTTTGTAAAATGTTCAAACAATTTTATAATAAAAATTTGTCATATATACCTTCCATGCCCCCACCCTCATTCTTCCAACAAAAGAGACAGAAAGAGAAATCATGATTAAGCTTTTGGTATCCATACTTTAAATGCACATGTGTCAACTTATCTTAATCTTTATGGGAAACTCAGGAACTGGGGATAGGGTATGGAGGAGAAATTCATTCATCAACCAATGAGGACCAAAGACAACAGGTGAACAGGTGTGTGTCTCCCAATGTAGGTGGGGAGCAGATGCTTACAGTGTAATAGGTAAAGGCTGCAGATGCTTATGGTGTAATAAGTAAAGACTGCTCTGTGCAGAGCATGGTGGTTACTAGGAGTAGTTGTGAGTGTAGTGGAGGGCAGAGGGGTCAGGCAAGGCTTTGTGGCAGAGGTAGGTTCTAAACTGAGTCTTGAGGAATAAAGAGTTTGCCAAGCAGACACATGCATGAGGAGAGATTTCTGGTCCACTGAGAAGAAACAATAAGTCATGTTTGATGGATAAAATTAATTCGGTATTCTTGGAACATAAATGGGTTTTGTGGGCTGGAGAAAGGATCAGAGAAATGATACTGTGGAGTTAAGCAATATCCATAGGACCTTTCAGATCCCACTAAAGGATTTGGATGAACGATGGAATGTGTAAAAAAAAAAAAATGTGAGTGAGAGGGTG